GTGCACACTGTGCTACTACTACTACTACTACTACTACTGTCGATGACTAAAAACTCTTTATTTGCTGTTTTTCCGTCTATTTCTGAACCTTTTAACTTTGTGCTCCCAACGCGAGATATCTTCTTTCTGCTCGAATTACATAAATCTCAAGTTCCATAGCCCATTACTTCGGTCCGGTCGAAAATATCGTGCCTGGTGTAGACGTGATTTCGTAGCTTCTCAAACTGTCCAGCTATCATTACATAATGTCGATATGTTGTCACTGACCAAATGTGTAGTTTTACTTCAAAAGTTGGTCCACTTTCTCCCTGTTTACTAATAGACTCCTATTACTACTACCACTACTGTTTACTCAGCGAATGAACTATTTAGGCGCGCTCGTAATGCCTTTGTATCGTTGCCAAAAATGGCTAAAACACGCACACATACACACACAAACACAAATTAACATTTCTTCTGACTGACCTATTTTCTGGATGTTGTAGAAACAATAATTTTTAATGTGGTAATGGAATTTTGTGACTTGTGCGAGTATTTCCTTCTTATCCTTTTGTTTATTTGTTGAATGTGACACATGTGATAACACTTCAGCCATGTAACCATATTTTGTACAAACCAGCGAAAAGTTCATCTTCCACTTGATCTAGTTGTATGTACTTCTGGAAGTAGGGTGTGCCTGTGTAGGATGGGTTGCCGTACAGTGACGCCGTCCACGTTCTATGCTCATGTTTATGTTTCGAAGACAGGCTTCTGCCGAAGGTGGCGGCCGACTGAGTCGTGAGGTTCGAGGCAGAATGCCTCTGGGCGTTAGAGGTACCGTAACTAGAACGAAATAAGTCGATTATTCGTCTCCCACTTTTCGTCTCGTCTGATATGCCAGGTTTTAGGCGATTTCTATCCACGAAACTGTCAGATACACGAGATAGTCTCCATTCCACAGAGCCGTGTTCCTCCGCGGGCAGCTCTTGTCAGATCCATTGTCGGCTGGTCAGAGGTAGCCGGCGAAACTCTGCTCCCCGAAGGCGAGAACCCAGAAAAGCTGGACTCTGATTTAGATGACCGATGAGATCCAGATTGTGCGATGACCCTTATCAAAATGAGGCGGTTTCGTTCAATTG